AGGAACTTATCCCAAAATACTCATTTTCCACAGCATTTTTAGCTGGGATTTGAAAGGTCACATCGGCACAAAACAGCATTTTTTACATTTGTAATAATTTATCGCGACTTCTTGTAATATATCAAAGAACAATTTCTTCAAAAGGGCAGGGTAATCTGAAATAAAGTACTTATTTCTCAGCCACTCCGCTAGAATCGGGCCTCCCGAAAAAACCGTTCAGCCAACTCTTAGGAGGAACTCACCATCGAAGGTCACTCCTTGGGAATAAGAATGTTTCTTGGACCAGATTACATACTTCTGGATCTAAGCCTGGGGAGAATAGAGGCTGCTTTGAACTCTGAGTCTAAACTAACTATCTGAACATCTTAAAATGTTTTCCTTCATACCCGAATAAACTACCAATGGGAGCTTGAAGGCCAATAAGTGAACTTCAGCCTCTTTTCTATAAACGGAACTTATGTGAGCCTGTTTATAGGTTCTATGGGCAAAACAAACGCTAGCAATTGTTAAAAATTCCACTATAAGTCAACCTGAAATTTCATTACCAGCTGGAAGGTCAAAAGAAAGTCACGGATTCGGAGATATTATGAGCGTGTTTTGTAGGCAGAGGAAGAGCCTTCAAGATGCACAAAACATCTAATCGAGTAGTAAAATTGTGGAGGAATAAGCGTTGAAATAAGAATCACGAAGAATCATGTAATATTCTAATAGTTTGCATATCCTAATAGTTGTTAATAGATTGATCAATACTTTCGTATTTTACGAGGTTAACTTCTGCTATTTAGACGGGTTTGCATATAATATGGATATATTTCTGAATTCATATATTGAAAAATTAGGTGATGTGCATTGCAGTGGTTCCTAATACGAGATAAAAAGAAGCACCTTTGTTGTTCTCGATGTTGTTGTGCTGCGTTTCGAAAATGGCCACAAAAATAGTGAAAGTATAATGGTAAATGCTGCACAGATTTTTCGTTAATGCACAATTTAGTTCAATAGAGCTCCTACAGGCTAGCAACCCAGTTAAAACAGTATGGTAGTGATATTTTGGCGAAAGTATGTTGAAACAGATTGTAAGGGACCTGCTCTAATAAGTCCAGGTAACGAGGTAATGCTTCTAGTTAAACACCACACATATATACAGATTTTATGTTAGATGATGTAAGAATACTACCAGTGGAACAAAACACTTCACGAAATCTTTAGTGACAAATCAGGAGATTTTTTGAAACGAGTGATTTAGGAATTCATGTTGGATAGTGAAAGATCCGAAGTGCCAAAGAATATTATTTATTTTGGTTATTTTTCGTAGCATTTTGTGGTCAACCACAGTTGCACGAAAAAGTGAAGAAAGTCTTCGCGATGACGCTAGCCTGTAAAGCTAGATATGTGGCAACGTGAGAACGCTCTATTCTTCTGTTCAGTCATTTACATTTTTTATGCTAGAACTCAGTAACCTATACTTATAGAAATTTATACAATTATAGAAGCTAGATTATCACTTATAGAACTGCTAATGCTTATAATTAATAAGAAAATGCTCTAAATTCATTTTAATAGCTCCTATAATACTTCAAGCTCATACTGGAAACGCAATTAGAAATATGGTTATCAACATGGTTATCAACCATAAAAGAAAAATGTGTGCTAGCCGAAAGCTAGAAATTAAAAAAGTTTGTGAAAATGGACTATAATAATAACATCCATTAGTTTTCAGGTATGTGTCGGAGGAAGGAGGTGAGAAGGAGGGGGGAGGGAGGTAAGAGGATTAAAGTTTATAAACTCCATATGTGGGCAAAGATGAGGAATGAAGACCACTTCAACAATTCTAAAGTGTTTAAAGCTAAAGGTAAATGCATGAAATTTTATTCAAACCTCAAACCTCACTCAAATTCTAGGGGAAACTAACTGTATAAAAGTATTGCTTCGCTTTGGTTGGAAAGTTTGTAAAAGACACGGTTACGAGTCGTTCCAGAAACAGAAGAAAACATTAGTCTCTAGATGTCCATTCGTAGAATCGCAAAGTTACGACAAACATTTCCCCTATAAATGAGTAGCATAACGAAACAGGTCTTCCAATGGCCAATGTGATCGGAAATCTTGTAGGAAAAGGAATAAAATGAGCAATTTGATATTGCTACGTAGTCCCAAGACATCACAAATCAGTTAATGACTAACCCAAGTGGTCGTCCAACTTTTGTTCCAAAAAATTTTCCTTTTTTTGTTTTGGTCTTTTTAGCCATCCTAAATAGATAAGTAAGAGAAGTACTCAACCTTATTCCTGTGCTAGTAGACCTTTACATTAGCATTATTTGCACATAGAAGGACGCAGTCTTCGGTTAAGTCGTTACTGCTTATTCAATCGATTATGGGATTAGAGAAGCTTAAGACGGGAAATCTTCTCAAGAATTGCATGTGATTGTTGAGTCAACCAAATTAACAAAAAAGCATTGACATAACTGATGAAGAAACGAAAAATTGATGAGCAAAACTGTTTCCAAGTCAGGACAAAAGAGGATAGCGGGGTATTCGTTGGAGGAGCACTCATAATAACACAGCGCGCCATGATAGTTATTCGAACACTGAGGGCCATACTTCGAATGTTTATCTATTTTTTATCTTTTCACAATAATTGCACTCAACCAGTGAAGTTGAAGTTGATTTGATATGATGGGAGCAGTGAACGCAGGATGGCGATGCCTTTTATTGAGGACATCAGCATATACACAAAGTTATCTTATTTGAATAAATAGCTACATATTTATGTGATAGAACTAGTCCTCGCTGGAATTATGATTTCCATTTTGAAATCATTCTGACAGCGAACTATTAAAAT